GGTACCAGCCGACTCTTGTTACTGACACCCTGGTCTCTGGATTACCATTGCTTTTTGGTACCATAAGATTCTCTGCTGTTTTTGTTTGTTTGTTTGTTTTTTTACTGGGGCCTCTCCACTGGAGGATGTTGAGGAGGATGAAGCAACATTCAGTCAGTCTCCTGTACTAGTCCAGTATTTCCCTCCACGTCCATACAGGAATCCATAGTTCAACAAAGATCCTCCTCTATGACAGATGGTGTGAATCAGCCCTTATAGGCCTGCAAAAGACCATACTGGGATTCTTGGGCTGCCTGTCAGCAGCAGTTTGCCAGACCTCAGCTCCATTGCACTGAGAATTTAGCATTACACAGCCCCCTTTCTTCCAAACCCGCAACACGGGGAGACCTTCAAATAACAGTAGACTTGGGCGGATAAGGAGGCCACCCCAATAACTTCTGTTACATATTTGTCTCCGGACAAGGCAGTCGTGCCTCCACCACCATCAATGGCCAACGATTTTTGCCAGTTTCAGGACCTTGAGAAAAGGGTGGCTGACACCCTTCAGATACCTCTTGAGGAGTTCAAAGACTTGGAACACAAGCTCCTGGACATTCTGCAGTCAGCAATGCCCAGCTGCATTGCACTATCCATCAGACCTGCACTATATTACACTATATTACAGAGGTTGTGAGTTTGATCCCCAGCTGAGACAAACTATTCCCTTTATAAGTTTAGGGGAGGTTTACTTTTTCTATCAGTTATTCTTTTAATTCAATACATTACCAAAGTGAAGCGTACTACCCTCTCCTCCAAGAAAGGATTCTTTGACCCCACTTTGGGCAAATTTTTTAAACTCCCCATCTTTCTACAAACTCTTCTTGCACCATCCTCTGGAACTGCAGCGCTGTTAGTACTCCTGTCCCTCTAGAGGATGAAATCAGGAAAAACCGGAAGCTTGTTCATGACGATAGAGGTGGTAAACGCTAGCACAAGCACTGGTACTACTTGATGGGAGGGGAAATAAGCTGTGTACACTGCATTACCACCATGGTGTTTAGTGCTATATCACAGCATGTGTGTGCATTTAATTGATTCCAGACTGGTGCTCATGGCAATTACTGGGGCAGGGGGAAATCCCCCCCCCATAAAAGAAAATTCAGAGACATCATCAGAATAGTGTGAAATGAGAAATACTGGTTTGAGATCTATAAAATAGTTTTTGTTGAACAGGAAAAATTATTAATAACGGAATCTTATTCCTTATCCTTTTTCTTTCTAATTCCTTTCATTCAGAAAGATCCTTAAGTGTTTTACAAACACACACAAACTGTATAGGAGTCAATTTATCCTCCACTAAAATGTAGACATTTCTGGATTTGAAGTTGGCAGCTGTTGTATAGCACTGCTTTGTGCTATACAAGTTTAGTACGGGAAGAAAAGGCAAATCTGCCTAGAGTATTTGGCATGTTATCTAAACACCATATATCATATTCAACTGCAAAAAATCTTAAACTTTTTCAAACTGATGACTGAAACATTTATATGCCACTTCTATCTCAGGAAGCATGTGCAGAAGTTGATTCCTCCCACCAGTATTTGAACTAGAAAGCTGTGGCTGCAAGTTAATTGTTAAATGACTCTTGCAAAGCAAACCATTAACCTTATGTATTGCTCCAGTGCTCTTATTGTTAAACTGGCTAATTGAAATATGCCAGAAGTACCTTATTAATATCCCAGTCGACTTGGGACACACTATTCCTGACCACAGGTCCCCCAACCACCACTTTTTACCTGTGGAAAAAATCAGGTGCGGATCTTTAATGTACTGAATAATGGCTGGACAAGGCCAGCATAGACAGGACCCCTCATCCCAGGCATGTTGCACTGGCAGGGCTCTTTGTTGGTGTAATCAAGCGGGAATGTTCACTCCTTGCAGCTGACATCTTTCATCCCCCTCAGTAATAAAGTAATAAACCTAAATTAGTAACATCAGTTAGAAAAAAGGGGTGGTCTATAACCTGTGGTCTGCTGGGATACTTCCCACTCTCCAGTGCACTTTCCCTTAGGTCAAAGGATATTTTGATTTTCAGAAATCAGCAGTGGAAAGAAGATCCAATTTGCCTGCATTTCATCAGAGATTTAGTTCTGTGTGGCATGCTGAAGTGACTAACTGTGGAGCACATTGTGACAGGTTGGATCACAGAAACCCCCTTGGGGCTGCCAACTGATGTGCCAAGACTACTTCTGCCCCTGCTTTCCCTGCCAGCTTTGGACTCCAGCACCCTGTCTTGCTGAGCCAGACACTCCAGTCTACTCCAACACAGACACAGGGTCTGAACCACATGCCTCAAAGCTGCAGACTTAACTGAAAGCAATTTAAGAAGTGTTCCTGTCTTTAACACTCAGCTGCCCAACTCCCAATGGGGTGCAAACCCCAAATAAATCCGTTTTACCCTGTATAAAGCTTATACAGGGTAAACTCATAAATTGTTCACCCCTTATAACACTGATAGAGAGATATGCACAGCTGTTTGTCTTCCCCCCCGGTATTAATACATACTCTGGGTTAATTAATAAATAAAAAGTGATTTTATTAAATACAGAAAGTAGGATTTAAGTGGTTCTAAGTTGTGACAGACAGAACAAAGTGAATTACCAAGCAAAATAAAATAGAACATACAAGTCTATGTCTAAGAAAACTGAATACAGATAAAACCTCACCCAGTAAGCTTCCTTTTACAGACTAGTCTCCTTCTAGTCTGGGTCCAGCAGTCACTCACACCCCATGTAGTTACTGTCCTTTTTCCAGTTTCTTTCAGGTATCCTTGGGGGTGGAGAGGCTATCTCCTTAGCCAGCTGAAGACAAAAATCCTAGGGGTTCAAATTGACTTCATTCTTGTGGGTGGAGACCCCCTCCTCTCTCCTATGCAAAGTCCAGCTCCAAGATGGAGTTTTGGAGTCACATGGGCAAGTCACACATCCACGCATGCCTCAGAACTTACAGGTGGCAGCCATGGTTCACATGCTTCCTTGAACATCCTCAGGTAGACTTCTTATGTGGATTGGAGCATTCCAAGATTCATTGTCCTTTAAGTGTTTCTTGACTGGGTACCTAATTTGCACATTCCTTTCTCAAGGAACTGACCAAACGCTTTACAAAGGTTACTTAAAAATCAAGCCAGTACACAGCCAATATTCATAACTTGGAATACAAAATTGATACATGCATACAAATAGGATTAATAGATTCAGTAGATCATAACCTTTACATAGATATGTTATAAGGCATATATAGCATAAAACATATTCCAGTTATGTTATATATATATATAAAAGCATATTTCTCTAAAGCCTTATGGGGGGCACCATCACACACATTCCATGTGGCAACAAGTCTCTAACAATCTCTACTAAGCCTAACACAGGCTGCAGATGGTAAATTTTGATAGCATGTGACTGAGTCAAGTCTGAACAGATTTTCATAGGTACAGAAAAAGGCACCTTCCTGGCCCCAGGACTAGCTCCCTGCCATACTTCAAGAACTGCTGTAAACAATGTAAGTATTAGAGGTCTTAAAAAAGTTGGACAATGTTTTTAATAGAAAGGGTTTGGCAACCTTTATATAGTCGCTGCCCTCTGTCATAAGGAAGATGTAGATTTTCAGTTTTATGATTTTGTGTTGTGGCTTTTCTCTTAAATATCTTGCAATGTGGAGCTATTCCTTAGTTATAGTGCTGTCGTGTATTGTTTTTAACATTGAAAAATACTTGAGGCCCAAGACATGGTAAAGAGCTGATTCCCTGATCTAAACATAAAGGTTAATATATAGTTACATTAAAGTTAAAATTAAATGAAAACAATTCTGTATCTTATAGTGTATGTTTGGGATCATGTTGAAATTGCAAACAAAGGCTCAGGGTGTATGGTTTTCATTTACCAAAAGAGAGGTATTAATTTTTAAGAGGTAACTGTTGCTTAAGATGCTGTTGTGCATGAGTAATAAATTTTTAATGATTTTCTTGTACATGCATGGATTAAAATCCATTATTTATTGTACCTTCACTTGTCTAGTAAAGGTGCTGCTTTTATAGCACCAGCAGTCATGCAAACACATTTATTTTGAACTGGTGGCTGATAATAAATTTCCTTACTGTAAATGTCAGTGGGTTTTGTGTGTTGCTGCCATTACATCTTGTTTGGAAGGCTGAATATTACACAATTATGGGAGGCACCAGATGGCATCATTAACAGGAATGCTCTGAATGTTTACCACTTATGTGCATGTGTGTAATTAAAAGTAAGATGACCTATCCTTACTTTGAAAACATGATGTCAGTAGTATACAGGTGTTAATGACATTTGCAGTGAGCTAGAATATTCATTCCTGCCTACAAAATAGGATGGTTTTTTTTAGCTTTCTGAAAACAGCTTGTAGATTGGACCCATGCTAAGTGTAAGAGCAGTTTGCAAAGAGGGAATAGACGTTTTTCCCAAAGAAACTTGCTGTTCAGTATTACAAAATGAAAAGCCACAGCTGCTGTCACTAAAATGTAACTCTGTTCCAGTAAGCAACAAATAAATCTCCCCTTGTATCACATTATTTCTATTTAGCCTTGCTGTGCTAATTATTGTCAGTGTAAAATTTGATGTTGCTGGTTTTATTTTTATTGAGGTTTATTTTTAAAGGTTACAGGTTTAGGCCTGTTCTGAGTTTGTCAATGTATTTTGTTCTCAGGCAAGATGCCATTTTGATAACTTTGGAACATGTTGTTATGTGTTTATCTACAGAATAGGTACAATAGGTAGGGTGCTGAAGTCTTTCATTCTGCCCTGCTAACGTGCAGCAACCCCGTTTTGAAAGGGGTGAGAAGGTAGTTGTGATATGGTAGGTATCTTTAGGTGCCTCCTGGAGGCATTAATGCCCAGCAACCATGATGTATCCATCTCCAAAGCAGCCCCTACGGGGAGACCTTGCTGAGTCAGACAGCACTGTGGAATTTTCTGAATTAAAGCCCAGCAGGTATTTTTACAGTCCCATCTATTAAGTGCCTCTCTGAGCTGAGGCAGTAAGGTGCAGCTGAGCCAGGTTAGTCTCAGAACCTTAAAGAATCTGGGTTTCTTTCAGGGGTTTCTTTCTAGTTTGCTCTCTAGAAGCCAGGATACAGAGCTCTAGAGAGAGAATCTGCTCTGTTTATATTATTTTGTATTTATAGCTGATCCTTATTTAGTTTTATTTAAAGGTTTTAAGCTGCATGAAGGGAATGTGGCCAAAGACTGATTCCCTGGGTGTGCTGTTTTGGTTGCACAATAACAATGTGAAACACTAGAGATATTTTTTGTAGCCCAGTCTAGGTCATCCGTGACATTTCTCTCCAGCTGCATAGACCCTGGCTCTGCCATGGAATGTTATTCTCCATGCTCATGTAAGGCCTGATCCAAAGCCCACTGAAGTCAGTGGGAGTCTTTCCATTTCACTGAGTTTTGGATCAGGCTTTTAGACTTGGGAGGCTGCCAATAAAGGACAAGCTTTGGTTTAAAAAATGCATTTTCAGCTCAGCTACTTAACTAGTGGCTGTATAAATTAATACTAAGAACAGGGCTTCAATAGTACAGAGAGCTTATCTCTTCCTTCTTTCACTGTGCTTTCTGACATCTTGGTAACAGTCATAGCCTCATGCAGGCCTTGATTCTGTGAGCTTTTCCTTGCAGGCAGAATCCTATGCCCATCTAGAGTACTGTTGACCTCACTGAGGCTCTCCATGGGCATAGGGGTCAACCTGCAGGTCGCAGCCTGCAGGATCAGGGCCCATATCTTTTCCTCTGCAGATACTGCCACCTTTCCGTCTCAGTTAACATTCTACCTTTGTCTCAATTAATATTCCTCACCTGTTGACTTCAAGTGGAGCTACAGGTCCTCAGTGCACCTTAGAAAAATAAGAAGGAATTTTTAACATATATTAGGAACCAAAAGAATCCTGACAGAGCTATTGGTCCACTGCTAGGTGGAAATGGTAGATTTATCAATAATAATACAGAAGAGGCAGAAGTGTTTGATAAGTGCTCCTGTTCTGTTTTTGGGATATAAACAGATGATATGGTCTCATCTTATGGTGGTGATAGCACTTTCCATTCCTCCATTCTGGAGGATGTGAAACAGAAGCTACTAAAGTTAAACATTTTAAAATCAGCAGGTCCAGATAACTTGAATCCAAGAATTTTAAAAGAGCTGGCTGAGAAGCTCACTGGATTGTTAATGTTGATTTTCAAAAAGTTGTGAAGCACTGGGGATGTTCCAGAAAACAGGAAGAAAGCTAATGTTGCGGCAATTTTTTAAAAGGGTAAATGGGATGACCTGGGTAATTATTGGCCTTTCAGGCCAACATAGATCCTAGGCAAGATTATGGAGTGGCTAATATGGGACTTGATTAAAGGAGGGTAATGTAATTAATGCAAATCAGTGTGGGTTTATGGAAAATAAATCCTGTCAAACTAATTTCATATCTTTTTTTGATGAGATTGCTTAGAGGTGCACCAGATTAATTCTGTGCTGTCCGTCTGATTGGAGGTGGACATGGAATTTATTATAGTTGCCCAGGTGAATGGCAAAGATTGCCTAGGGTGGAGAGACCAGATTTCTCTGGTCATTGAAAGTATCGTCAGGGAGTCTGACTTGCTTCAGGAATGAAGTGTGGAACTCCTGGCATTGGGAAAATACAGTATAAAACTCTTGTGTCTTTAGCTAAAGTGCATTTGGAGTGTGGAGGATTGGTTGTTGGATTGTATTCTGGGAAATACAAGGATTGTGGGAAATGATGTATTAACTATGACTAAAGCTGTTAAAATTGTAACCCATAGTAAAAAGGAATATTGTTCTGTAATTCCAAAAGGGAATGGTACAGACAAAGAAACCAACTCTTGCGTAGTAGAGGAAAGTAGAATGCCCTCAGGGCTGATGTGGAGGAGTTAAACCCCATCTTGCCAGCATTTTGCAGATGAGCAGAGGGCAGACCCTACTCTAGAAAGTGCAAGGGGAAGGGAAATGGGGCAAGGTTTTTTGAAGAGGAAGCAGATTTTACAGGAAAGCTCCCATGGGGAAAGATAAAAGCCCTGGGAAATCTTACAAGCAATTAGTTGTGCATGCTTAGCACCATTGGGAGTTAATATTCCTGGACCATGACTGCCTTTTTCCTGGTCACTTAAGAACTCAGAGGACCTATGATAGGTTAAAAAGGAATTTTTACTGGTCAGGGATACAGAATAATGTGAGAGACTATTGCAGAACTTGTGACTTATGTCAGAAGAGAGAGAGACCAGTATGACCCTAAAAAGTTACCCTACACCTCCTCCCTGGGATACATGAGGCATTTTTCTGGGTAGCAGTGGACAGTGTGGGCCCTGTGCCTTGTCCTAGCCAAAGGAGGAAGAAATATGGTTTCAATGGATTTTGCCATGAGATACCAGAAGCAGTGGCTCTGTCTAACATAGAGGCTGACGCTGTGTCAAAAGCCCTTTTCATTATTTTCAGCAGAGTGGGTTTCCCTAAAGAGATTTTATCAGATCATAGGTCAAATTTCATATCCCAGCTATATTGAGAATTATGGAAATTGTGTGGCGTGAAACAGCAGAAGGATGCCCCATATCATCCAGAGACAATTGGTTTGGTCAAGTCATTCAATGCAACACTGAAATCTATGCTGGGGATGTATGCAAACACGAGGGCCCAGGACTACGATGAAATTTTACCCTATCTATTTTATGCTTATAGGAAGGTCCCCCAAGAGTCCCCAGGGTTCTCCCTGTTTGACCTATTCATAGTAGAGCTTCACTCTTGGATCCGTGTTCCAGGAGTGTGACTAGTCAGGAAATGCCTGCACACCTGCAGACAGTGCATTCTGCTCCAGCTAAAGTGATACAGCTGCTATTGTCTCTATGACTTTGATGCAGCTCTGCCTTGAGGAGCTGATCCAGCAAATGATGGAAGTACAGAGGCACTGTTGTTGCTCTTCTTTGAATATAGGACAAGTCAGGAAAACTAATACCAGTGGTGAACTAGATTCACTTGGTGAAAGGGTCAAGAGAGCTGGTCTTGTTTGAACTGCTGGCACATGGAGGGCCAGCACTGATGAGTAAATGGAGCACAGTGTAGCTGACATTGAGAGGAAGATGGGTGGTTACCACCCCCACCAAGCACTTAGGAGCCATGGAGAAGCAGCAGATGAAGGGTTGCTATAGTAAACATTCACTGTGCTGAGGAAAGTTACTTATGGGGCTGTCATTAAGGCCACCACCTGAAGCACAGAGATGTATGTCTGTCCAGTGCTCGTCACCACTACACTGCCCAAAGCAGAGAGGAGCACCGAAGAATACCCCAGTTTAATGGTGTCCATGGCAACATATCTGAAGCATGCTTTCTCTGTACAGCAGACCAACCTCCTGCTGCTATCTCCAGGTGGGCTGGCATGAAGCAACACAACTCTGAAAGGCTCAATGCCATACTTTGCCTCCTCAGATAGGCCACATCTCTAGCTGTCCTCTTGGAACAATGTAGCATCATGTGCTCACTGCCTGAGAGAAACCACGCACCATGCAGCACTCCCCCCAGAGCAGCTTGGTGCATAATAGCATGCCATCTGAGCAGCCTACCAATCTGCGGGGCTACCTCTGAGTGGCCTGCAGCCAAGCAATGACAGCAGGAATGACACTGCCAGAGCACAGTGTCTCTGATACATGCCTCTACTAGAGGAATGTGACAGCGATGCTCTCTGGATGTTATGGACAATTACACACTCCTGAGGATACAGTTTAGCCTCTGCATGTGTAACACAATTTGCATTTCTGCTAGGAGAAAAGCCCTGACAATTAGCAATAACTGCCCTTTGGACTACAGTCAGCATTGTGTGTGTTTATAAATGCTTAGCAGCCTTACCTGCATTTCTACACAAGATGGAAGATGTTTCTCTCCTCCTCAGATGACTGATTAATCAAAGGCAACATCTTGGATTGGATCCCAGGATCAGTCAGTGCCACTAGTAAGCAATATCAGCACTGGCTTATTTGTCCCTGCAAGGAAATGGGATGTTCATGCCAACTGTTATTTTTTTAGGGAGTAACTGAAATTAGTCTCTTTTTGGTCCAAGCTGTGCAGAACTCAGAGTGTTCTTATAGGAGTCCATGCTGTACAGAAGGGCAGTGCATGTTTCTCCCCCACTGTGTACACTTTCAGCATATTAAAGTCAGCTCCTTGAAAAGGATTGTGGAGGGGAGAGTTAGGAAGCCGTTCAGCAGTGCTGCAGAGATGCTACAAACAGTAGAGCCCATAGTAATTACCTGCAAGCCCCAGCTTTACTGTTGCATATTTGGGACCAGATCCTCAACTGGAGTAAATCACTATAATTCTACCGAAGTCAGGTTATAAGAGAGCTGTGTTAATTTACACAAGCTAAGGATCTGGCCCTTGTAATACAAAAAAGCACAACCAGGCATGGCTATTCTTTGAGCCTTCCTTTCAGTTCATGATCCACATAACTTTTTGGGTTTCAAAACCTGGATTCACCAAACCCAGCATCCCAGATTTTTCCCCACCTACACTTGGACTCTGAAAGAGCCCTGCTAAACAAGACCCCTCCACCAATCCCATCTTTGAGGGTATCTCATACAAGTTAAAATTCTTCATTGTTACCATTTTAGAAGGTCCTTGAATCTTAGCAGAAAAAAATCTTTTAAAAAATACTTGTAGCATGGTGCAAATTGGGGTAGCAATAAACAATGGATAAAGATGGAGCAGAAAGAGTTCACTATCTCTGTACGGTCAATGGCTTTCTTACAAAAACAGATGAGACCTGATGAAAAAAGGGCTCCCATTCAGAAGTTTCCCTTACCTTAAAATCTGGGGGCAACCCAGAGCAAAAGCAAGCCTTGCCGTGCTGCTCTAAGATGATTAGCTCAAACCCAAGTTTCCTTTCAGGAGACACTAGAAACCACTTTTTAAAAGTGGGCCTGCAAAGAGTAGAACCATTAATTTATGTGGGGAGAGGGGGAAATGTTGGGCCCAGCCACATTACAAAAAACTTTTAATTTAGAGAAGATAGCAATATTTAATTGTGTACAGTGGGCACACTGTATTTGAAACCCCCAAGAAAGGCCAGTCTTCAAGACACCACACATAGAAAAGGTGATAATCAACTGTAGAGTCTCAAAAGGCATCATTTAAAAGCGACATAGTGACTTTATCAAACTAGATATGGAAGGCAAATGTGTAATTTCATGAATATTTGGGAAAAGATAAGGAAATTCCCCTTCAGCACTGGGCCCTTATTTGGCATAAGGCTGCTTTGTCTTCCATATGTGTGAGGGAAAAAGAAAATCATAAGTTACATCTGCAGATTTTCTTTAAATGGGGGTACTGCTAATAGAGTATCAGCTGGCTGTTGGAGAGTGTGGAATGAAAGGTACCTTTTTTATATTTGGTGGGAATGTCTCCAAAGCATAGAGATTTTAAATCTTGTAACAAAAATGAAATTACCAGTGGATCCATTGGCCAGGCTTTTGGGACTCCTAGATTAAAAGACCTACCCACTGCAAAATAGTAAATGGCTGTTTCTCCTTCAGATTGGATCAAGGTGTGCTCTGTCAGAATTTGGAAGTTGAGGGAGCCCTTTATTAGTGGATCAGATCCACAGCTAGTGTAAATCAGTTTTAAAACTCTAAGATTTTGTTTCAGACTAGTAGGCCTTTTGTATGTCTGTCCAGCTGAGACCATTGCATTGCTAGTGGAGAATGTTTCATTGCCTTCACCTAGGTGGTGACCAACTCATCACTGTTCGTGCTGCGTTTGTGTTCTCCCTTTTGTGATGGTCAAAACCAGGACCTTTTTACAGAGGCGACCCTTCATTCTGACTCCACTGGCAATTGTGTTGATGATAGATGCTTCAAGACTAGGCTGGGAAACATACCTGCATCAGCTCACAATCTGTGGCCTCTGGACACAGACTAAGCTTCACATAAATGTCTTGGAATTGAGAGTACTCAACCTGGCCTGCCAGGAATTCCTTCCTTGACTGAAAGGCACGTTTAGATTTGAATGGACAGTATCACCACCATTTATTATATCTGCTGATAGGGTGGGGGCATATTAGAGACCTCTGTCTTGGGAGGCAGTGAAACTTTGGAAATCGGGGGTCCATCATAGGCTTTCACCTACAGCAATATTCTAGGAAAAGAAAATCTTAGCAGATGACCTCAGCAAGAAGTAAAGTGCCTGGCACTTGTGGTCTGTCAAAGAGGCAATAGCCAGCAACTTGTTCTTGAGGTGGGGATCTCCTCAGCTTACCCTTTTTGCTGCAGAACATGGTACCAACTGCAACCAGTCCTGCCCCAGAGGTGGGAAGAGCTCAGGGTCTCAGCCAGACACATTTCTCTTGGACTGGAAACATATCTGCCTATTCAAGTTCCCTCTGATTCTTCTCATCCTTAGGGTCCTGTGGGAGATCAGACAAGACAAAGACAAGATGGTCCTCATAGCATCAAGTTGGGCCCATCAGTTTTGCTACCCAACATACTGGAATTGGCAGTGCACCCTCCGGTCCCTCTGCCTGATCTAGTGAACTTCTGTCTCAGTAGTACAGCCAGATTCTGAGGTCTTTGAATTGGGCATTCTGGATACTTCTGGCTGAGCAACTTGGACTGTGATTGCTCTGTAGGGGGGTTCAGAAAATTCTGCTGGGAAACAGGAAACTTTCCACCAGAAATCTGTATGAGATGGAAGTGGTTTTTCTATCTGGGCAAGGCAAAAAGGACCTGCTCTTCATCAGTCTTTCATTGCACTCCTTCTGAACTACTTGCTTCACCTCAGATGATCTGGTCTCTCCCTCAGACCAATGAGAACTCCCCCGGCTTACAAATTTGGTCTTTCATCCTCTGTTACAGGACTATACTGTGTTCTTTGATCCCACAGCCCTATTCATTTCCAGGAGAGGCGAAGTGACACCCTTTATGTATTAAGAAAGCTCTGAACTACTATCTGAACAGGACTATGCCATTCCATAGCTAACAGCTAGATAGCTTGAAGTGAATGGGGCACTGGGGGCCAATCAATCCCAATCCAGAAGACTGTCCAAAAGAATCAGACTGTGGATAAAGCACTAGACTGGGACTCAGGAGACCCGGGTGCTATTCCATGGACTATCACTGGCCTGCTGGGTGTCCCTGGGCAAGTTACTTAACTTCCCTGTGCCTCAGTTTCCCCATATATAAAATGGGGATAATGATACTGACCCCTTTGTAAAGTGCTTTGAGATCTACTGCTGAAAAGCACTATAGAAGAGCTAGTTGTTATTTTAGAATACTCTTTTGCTATGGATTAGTAGTTATTCTGATACCAGCAGGTATCAGAGCCCATCCACTGGAGCTAAGGCAGCCTCAACTGCCTGTCAAATAGATTTTGATATATGTAAGCTGTATCCTAGTGTTCCATCCATACCTTCACTCTGCATTACTAATAGGGTCTAGCCTCGTCTTCAGATGCTCTGTCTGGGAGAACAGTCTTGCCATCTTTATTCAAAGACTCATCAGACCCTCCTCCTTTGGGCTTGGGGACTGTTCGTTCATGCTCTGAGAAGGCAGAACAGTTAATTGCCCTAGTAACTGTGTTTTTTCAGGATGATCCACACCTGCCCTCCTTCCCTACTCTGTTGGACTCTCCCAACAAATCCACAGTGAATAGCAATTGAGGGCAAATGGGGCATGAAGACATAAGCAGGGTGTGTATGTGGTCCCAGTGGACAACGTTTGTCAGTAAATTCTGAGGACCCAGGCTTCACTTAAAGTGGGGCTCTACTTTTCTCATCTGTAAAATGGGGATAATACTTACATCATTTGAAAGTACGTTGAGGTTTATGGTTGAAAAGATCTTGTAGAAGGTCCGCAACTGCAAACAGTGCTAACTAGTGGTCAGGTGGGGGTTGGCAGGTTGGTTCTTATTGAAGCACAGTCCTGTCCTTCAGTGCCTTCACCCTCAGGGTTTCCAGTCCTCCTCTTTAGCAGAGGGGATTTTGGGGCTGGGTCCCTGAATAAACAGTCTTTTCCAACTGGCCCCTCACCCTAAGTGATGGGGGGAGGGATAGCTCAGTGGTTAGAGCATTGGCCTGCTAAACCCAGGGTTGTGAGTTCAATCCTTGAGGGGGCCATTTAGGAATCTGGGGCAAAAATTGGGGATTGGTCCTGCTTTGAGCAGGGGATTGGACTAGATGACCTCCTGAGGTCCCTTCCAACCCTGATATTCTATGATTCTATTCTATGATTCTTGGTGTTGTATTGTCCTCTCGGAGTGGACAGGGGAGCCCCAGCCTTCCCTCTGCACTGGGCTCCTGTCCAGGGCCCAGTGGTGGGCAGCAGTACCCAACACCTTCAGGTTCTAAGCCACTGTCCCCCTGGACCACTTCCTTCTCCAGTCTCCTTCAGCTTCCCAGAGTAGATTACTCCAATCAAGTCTCTTACCTGCACACTCTGTCACCTGCCTCTCCTTTGTGGGTTTTCACAGGTCTGTATTGTCAGGATCTACGCAGTGAGCTCCTGGGCAGTACTTCCCACTCAGGGCAGCCATCTGCTCCCTTTCACTGCCTGCCTCTGAACTGCCCTGCTCCCTTTTTTTTAAAGCTTCCAGCTTGTGCAGGCTTTACAGGTGTTATTATCCACGCAGGAAATTGTCTCAAAGAACCCAGTTACTATGGTAAATAACTGTTCTTTTATAAAGAATAAAACAATTGTTTGTGCTATGTTCTCCATCTCCAAATGGCTTTATTTTCAGCTTCATGTTTTAAAGGTACATATAGAACTATGTTTGCTTGGACACAGCTTTGAAAGGAACACTTACATATACTTTCTAACGTTACTTTTAATAATGTTATTTTTTTTAAAAAAATCTCCATTGATATGTTTTCTTAAAAACTTGCCTCTCACAGTAGTGTTTGTGCATAGCTCCTTGGCAAACATTAATTTTTGTTTTCCATTTCTTGTGTTTCAAATGGAGCTTGAAATTAAAATAGCTCTGTTTGTTCATTTCCTTGTTCATGCACCACCATTGTTGACCTCAGCACAATTCTAGGAATAGATTTGTTCATCACTTTGTACTCCCATTTTTGTTTTACAATAGCAGAGTCCATATAGCAGAGTTGAGAGTTTTAAATTCTGTATAATCAGTGGATTTCCCCCCCAGATTTCTCAGTAATAAATGGCAAATTAAAAGAAAAAGCATGTAGAGTCTAGTGGACATGCATAGAGCCATAGATCATTGGGCTGGGGAAATCCTCATAGGCCATCTACTGCAGCCTCTTTTAATAATGCAGATTTTTACTTCACACTTAGGACTCAATCCAGCAAGATACTGAGCCCTTTAGCCCTAATCCAAGAAAGCATTCAAACATGTTAACTGTAAGTACCCGAGCAATATCACTGGATTTAATGGGGCTACTCACATGCTTAAAATTAAGCAAATGCTAAAATGCTTTTTGCTGGATCAGGCCAGAGTGCTTAGCACCTTATGGATCAAACCTTAAATGCTTAAGTTTTGTTGTATCTAGTCTGCTCTTGGACAAGTCTAGTGACTGTGCCATAACACCATCCCTTGATACGATATTTCAGTGTTTATTAGGATATGTTTCTTAGTATCTGGTTCAAAAAGCCCCACAATTTCCTTTTACAACAAAGCAACAAAATCATCTATCCCAATGTTTACACCTCACCTTTTCATTTTTGGGCCGGTTCATATGCTTTGTCTAAATTTTAACATGTTTTTCATTGTTTATCTGTTTAAGATGTAATGTGGTCCCAAATAAATGTTCTTTCAGGAAAAATGTTTTTAGGCATATTCTAAATAAACTGTGGGTCAAATTTTAAAAGCCGGGCCAATAGACGGTGCACCTTTTAAAACACTTCCCCCAGAGTCTGCTTCCAAAGCCCGTCATGATCACAAGCATACCTATCTACTCTATTTGCACAAGCATTGGATTTGGCACACACAAAATGGGGTGATGTTTGCTGGTGCACTTATCACACCCTGCTTTGAAAATATGGCCCCAAAAGTATATCAGGTTATGTCAGAAAAGCAGAAGGCAAAGCATTTCTTTATTTGCATTGATGGTGTCTCCGTGAGAGGGGGAAAAGGGTTAATACTGTAGAAGTTGCCTGCTCAGGCATATGTTGTGCTGTGAGACCATGAGCCTGAGACATGATTTACAGACAGGATTTGCATTTTCACTCAAGTACAGTGCAAATTGAGCAAGCATTTTTAATTGCAGTGAAGTATGCAGTCTTCTAAGTGGATGGAATTGGCTGTCCACATGCAAAAACAACCCCCACAGTTCAATCAAGAAAAGTCACCTTTGTCAGCAGTTGCAATTGAAGCAGCAGATAGGCACTCTGCCCTCCCAGGTGGAAGCAACGTGACAGATGGTACAGTAGTAGGTGCTTTCAGGGACAAGAGTAGGAGAAAAAATATAAAAACCCATCCTAATAAAAGAAAATATTACTTCTGAGCTGCATATTCCTTTTCTAATAGTAGTAATACTTGTTCTGTGCCTTACTGTAGTTAATGGTTGCTGTTTTATTTAACAAATGGATACAAAAATAAATAAGTTGGAGCTCACTATTGACCTATCTAAGGTGATGTCTGGTTGCTCCTCTGGGGAACTGTCACCGTCTCATGGTATAATCTTTCCAGGGGTTTCTGCTTCTTCTGACTGATCCTCCTTAGTTTGCTCTTGGTCATAGCAGTTCCTGGAACCTCACCTCCAATTACATCTAGCAGTCCTTCAATTTTAGGGCTGGCAGTCTGCTTCGGGCTCCTGTCTGTTTTCTTGGAAGCAGCCTGATGAAGGGCTGTCACCCCTTTCTGTCCTAGGCCTTTCTGCCTCCTCCTCCTCTCTACTCTCCCCTTTATAGCAGGCCTTCTTTTCTCTGTTGGTTGCAGCTGTGGGTGCCTGCCTCCATGATTGGCAGCTATGGCAGCTGCGTGGGGGTGTGATCAAACTGTTTGCTTGTAAACAGGAGAGGCTCTCCTCCCCGTCTATCTATGCTCAGTATGGGGTTTGTGGACCCCATTACATATCCGCCCCTGCAAGGCCAAGGCCTGGCCTTGGCTGATGTAGGCTACTTCCCTGGACAGAGAATTGGCATTACGATAGAAACTTTCTGCCTGGTGCTGTACCTCAAAGGAGTATGGTTGTAGTGACAGGTACCATCTCATGATCCTCAGCTTTGTCTCTTTCATCATAGTTAGCCAGTATAAGGGAGCATGATCAGTAATTAGTGCCAACTCGTTTCCTAGGATGTAGTACCACAAGTTCTCTATTGCCCATCTGGCAGCCAAACACTCTTTTTCTATCACAGAGTATAATTTTTCACAGTGGAAGAGTTTCCAGCTGATGTATACTATTGGGTGGTGGTCTCCATTTTCATCTTGAGAAAAGACCGCCCC